TAAATGTGTGGCTGGAGAGAGGGAGAGTAGGGAACGGACAGCCAGAGTCAGGAGCAGGGGTCATAATTTGGGATGGGTGGAAGAGCTGGCTAAAATACCTTGCCACAGGGGCGCCCGGGGTGGCTCAGTCGGTTGAGCCTCTGATTTCAGTTCAGGTCATGATCTCGCGGTTCTTGAGTTTGATCCCCAGATCGGGTTTGCTGCTATCAGCCCAGAGCCCGCTTCGGATCCTCTCTCCCCCTCTCTCTCTTCCCCTCCCTCATTCACACACACACTCTCTCTCTTAAAAATAAATTAAATAAATTAATAAATAAATATTTTGTCACCAGGATGATGTAAAGTTTGAGGATTTTATTGGCCAAGAAGAGATATGTGCAGATTTGCATTTTGAGATGATTTCTCTGGTTGCCATGCTAAGAATGGCTTAAGGAGAAGCAAGGCTGAAGATATAGAGGCTACTTGGAAGCTATTTGGTACCAGGGTGGCAATAATATGGCTGGAGAAATGGCGACTGTCAGGATATTTGTAGGTAGAATGTATAGACGTTGGTGATCACTTGGCTGTGCTTGAAGGATGACCCTGATGTTTCTCGGTAGGGCAGCTGCATGGAGTAGGGGTCAGTAGCCTACAGCCCGCAGGCCAAATCTGCTGTGTCCTGTTTTTGAAAATACAGTTTTATGGGAACCCAGCCTTGACTGTTCTTTTACATATTATCTGCGGCTGCTTTTGCCACACATTGACAGATTGGAGTAATTTTTTTTTTTAATTTTTTTTTTAATGTTTATTTTTGAGAGAGAGACAGAGCATGAACGGGGGAGGGTCAGAGAGAGAGAGGGAGACACAGAATCTGAAGCAGGCTCCAGGCTCTGAACCATCAGCACAGAGCCCGACGTGGGGCTCGAACTCGTCAACCGCGAGATCATGACCTGCACCGAAGTCGGAGGCTCAACCGACTGAGCCACCCAGGCGCCCCGAGATTGGAGTAATTTAGCAAAGACCACATGGTCCTCAAAACATAAAATATTTACTATCTGGCCCTTTAAGAGAATGTTTGCCAAAGGAGATAAATGATCATTACCTTCATTTATTGAGGAATTAGCACTTACCAGACAAGGTTCTAAGTAGTTTACATATGGTACATGTTACGATGGTCCATCCCATTTGGCAAACATGAAGTGTTGCCGTTGTCCCATTTTACAGAGGCACAGATGTGACATTCTCATTCACTCCCATAGCTTCAGTGACCACCTGCATGCCACTGACTCCTCAGGTGTCTACTTCTAAACCAGACCTCTCGTTTGAGCCTCAGACAGGCATATGTCTAACAGCCAGTCTCAGAGACCAAAAACTCAGCATGCCCCCAAACCAGACTCCTGCTGGTTCATCTTTCAGTGTTCCATTTTTCTTAGCGAATATCACCAACAAGAAGAGCAAGCCAGAAACCAAGGAGCCCTTCTTGTCACCTGTCTCTCCCCATTCTTTCTCTTGTCCACTCTGTATAGAGATTGCAGAAATCTGGCTGCTTCTCTCCAGCTGTATCACCTACCACCTGCCAGAGCCAACTTATTAATAGGTCAGCACTTATGTAGGTTCTATAATAGCTTTCTCATAAATCCATTTCTTCAGCCACACCCTCCTCCAGTCTCCAAACTGCAGCCACAGTGCACTTCAGTCCTGTCAACCTCCACCCCTGTTCCCTATCTAATCCTACCCTTTGGGTGGTTTTTCTTGTTCTTAGGATTCCATGAGTTCTTTCGTGGTGTTTTTATGTTGTTTCATTGTTTTTGAGTTACTGTCCAGATAACAGGAGTGCAAAATAATTCTTGTCAATGCACATGCAAATAAGTTCTGAAGGTCAGGATTCAATTAATGTATCTCCCCTATTGTGGAAGAAGCTGGTTTTATGTCCATTTGCAAATTCATGTCACTATTCCTGACCCAGAAGTGTGTCTGTTCTTTGAACAAGTTTTAACATCTGCCTGGTAGCTTCATTATAGTTACATAGACTATAATATAAATTCATTTTATATGTATATGGCAGTCATACTTTTGCCTTTATCAGGGAAATTATCCTTTAACTCTCTTAAAAGGCACTACGTGGTTGGCTGTCTGCCAGCCCTCCCAGTCTCACCCTCGACCAAGTTCCCTGCTCGTCTCCACTCCAGCCCTGTCTCTCTTGTCTTTTGTAAGTGCCACATTTCTTCCCTTCTCAGAGATGTTTTTTCCTGGAACTCACTTTCATCTCAGATGTTTTTCATTCTCTCTTATAGTAAATACTTTTATCCCCTAGGTCTCTAGTTAAGTGTCCCTTGCTGGAAAGCCCTTCCGGACATTTCTGGTAAAACACAGGTAGCACTTGTTACTTTTGCTTTTTTACATTTGTAGGATTAGTTGCTGCTTTTTAGCACAAGTACCATTTTTCTATGTGGCTAAAGGCAATGCATGATAATGCGATGGAAGTATGCTCACAATACATCCCCAGCACCTAGCCCTGTTCCTTCACGAATGTTACATACACAATAATAAGTATTTTAGACAGATTTTTGGTGTAAGTACTCACTGCTCAGGAGAGAGGTGGACTGAAAAAAATACATATTTGGGAGCCATCAGCATATAGGTTCAGCCACAAAAATGCACAGGAAGCAAACCATTGGGTTAAATGAAATGAAGGCTGTTAGGAGCCTTGTTCAGGTGGAATAATAGGACAGGAGTCAAATTGTAGCCACTTGAAGTGGGAGGAAATAGAAGCAGTTAATACAGATTGCCCTTGCACAAATGTTGGCTCTGACGAGCCAAAAGGTATAGGTAGCACTGTGATAATTGTTCAGTAACTTCATTCTTGCAGTATATGTTCTCTTGATGGAAAAGGGAGGGTTTGGGGGCACCTGGGAGGCTCAGTCCATTAAGTGTCTGACTTCAGCTCAGGTCATGATCTCACGTTCATGACTTTGAGCCCCACGTCGGGCTCTGTGCCTACAGCTCAGAGCCTGGAGTCTGCTTCAGATTCTGTGTCTACCTCGCTCTCTGCCCCTCCCCCACTCATGCCCTCTCTGTCTCAAAAATAAATAAATTTTTAAAAAAAGCGTTTACAAGTAACACTTAAAATAGCCAGAAAATTGGAGCTGTGTAATATTTATCTTTAAAACAATAACAGACTTTTAATGCATGTCTGGTGTAGTCATTTATTTTTTTTTAATTTTTTTTTAAACATTTATTTATATTTGAGACAGAGACAGAGCATGAACGGGGGAAGGGCCAGAGAGAGAGGGACACACAGAATCTGAAACAGACTCCAGGCTCTGAGCTGTCAGCACAGAGCCTGATGCGGGGCTTCAACTCACGGAGTGCGAGATCATGACCTGAGCCGAAGTCGGAGGCTCAACTGACTGAGCCACCCAGGCGCCCCTGGTGTAGACATTTAAACCAAGCTTTTTTTTTTTTTCTTAAAGTTCATTTATTTATTTATTTTGAGAGAGAGCACACAAGTGAGCATGAGCAGAACAGGAGCGCAGAGAGGGAGAGAGAGAGAGAGAGAGAGAGAGAGAGAGAGAGAGAGAACCCCAAGCAGGTCCCACACTGTCATGCAGAGCCGGATGTGGGGCTTGAACTCATCAGCCGTGAGATCATGACCTAAGCTGAAGTTGGATGCTTAACCGACTAGCGACCCAGGTGCCCCTAAACCAAGCTTTTGAATGCAAACTGTTAATAGTTCTTCACCTAAGGGTTTCTTATTTTTAGGCATGGGGACAAGGTTGGAAAATGGCAGCCCTAGAGTTTACTTAGTCTATACTTTTTTAAAAATTTTATTTTAAAATTCGATTTTAAATTTCTTCAGGGACTCTGGTTTCCAGCCACATGTGACCTGCCTGGGCTGGAACTTGTCGCTCCACCCAAACCTCAGGAGCTGTTCTATGTCTTTTCTGAAGGGAAGGGAGAAGTGAATGCTGTTTTCTGAGTTGAAAAGATTAGAGCTATATTGTCTTTAGGACTCTATGAAATAAATTCTAAAACCAGACCAGATTTAACCGCTCTTACCCAGAATAAACCGTTCTCCCCCCTTTCCAAGAACAAATGAGCCACTTCCTATTAATTTAAAAGCCCAGAAAGGCTCATAACTGAAGCTGACGTCGCCCTGGGAGAACACGTAGAGAAGGCAGTAGCTTCCTTTTTCCTTTCAAAGGTTGCTTTATCAGCTTCCTTAAATATTGCTTCCACGGGTTTACAGCAGCGACCGGTCAGCTCGATTGGGGGCTCTTTATTTTGCCTACAACACTGAATGGCTGGGCGGATGCAATACCGTCGAGGTCTTCCGGCAGAAAGAGCTCTTAGAGGGCGTGAGCCTGGTAACCCTGCAGCACCCCACAACAAATCCCACTTGAGGAGGTGGTGCAAAGAAATCTAAACCCCAGATTCACGTTCTCGCTCATCAGTTTGCATGTGGGGATCGGTGGCAGAAGAGAGCCAGTGCGCAACTGCCAATCCCGGACTGCAGACTCGGGGGCAGAAGCTTTTAGCCTTTCTGTCCACGGAAACTCTTTCCCTAATGTAAATTAATTTCCCCAAGTTTGCCTTCGCCCTGGCCGAGGGGCGTGTCCGGGCCGGTAACCCTGGGGTGGCTCGGTAAATGCTCCTGAAGTGCCTGCCTTTGGAAAGGCGCTCGCTCGTGGCGCGCACGCTCGTGCCCCAGCCGGAGACCAAGTGGTGGAAACTAGGGCTTTGGTTTTACCCACCGAAAAGCGAGAGGGACCAGACGGTTGGAGGCTCCACCCCCGGGGATGCTGGAGGGGCTGCGTTGTTCCCTGCGCCTGGCCCTGGCGCTGGGCCCCAGGCGGCGGCAGCCCGCGCCGCGCAGTCGGTGCGCTGGGGCTTGGTCACGCCGCCGGCTTTCGCGTCCAGCCGCGCGCTGCGTGCGGCCGCAGCTCTCCGCAGCCCCGCGCCCCCGGGGACTCCCCATGGCCAGCCCAACCCGCGCCGCTGCGGCCTTCGCCCGCCAGGTACCCGAACCCAGACGTTTGCGGAAGGGGGGCGGATTGCACCGGCGTCTCCGAAGCCTGCCGGCCTGGTCGGGCGCATCGCTGTCGTTTCCTGCACTATCCTGCTTCGCCGCACACCGCCGTTCCGTCTCCACCCCGGCGTTTCCTCTCTCCCCAATCCTAACCGAAATCTAGAGCCCCAGCCAGCGAACTCCGCCTTGGAGAGGCCCCCGCCGGCCAGGTCTAATGCCCAGCCGCTGACGTGCTCCGGAGCGCGGCGTGGACAGCCACCGGGGATGTGAGGGTCGCCATGGAAGCTGCTTTGGGGGAGGAGGGGGAAGCGGAATTTCTGGGCTGCCAGAACTGACAACCACATCCTGCGTTCCTTTGCCACCCCAAAATATTTTGACCGCAGCCTTCTGCCTTCTTGGATTCCACCCCCCCCCCCCACCTTTCCCCCCCCCTCCATCTCTTCTGTAGCTATTTAGCAGATGGGGGGGGGGGGTGTTTGTTTTGTTTTTAAGGTCTGCACCTTTCCCCAACTCGTCCCTCAACCATTGTGCCCTTAAGTATCTTTTGAATTACCCCCTAATTTCCTGAGGTTATGTCCTTAACCTGTGAGGTTTGGTGTCCGTGCGCCCGCATTGCAGGACCCTGCCCGTGGAGAAAATGGTTCATTCTCGTCCTCATCCCTTTTCCAGCCTTGCTATTGTGCGCCAGTGATTGACAAGACCACGAGGCTGAGCTCGCCCAGGAGATTTTTCTATAAATGGCTTAAAACCCTGGTCTAGACTATTCGCTCCGATGTAAGGGGGACAATCACCTTCTTGTTCTTTGCTGGTGAACCCTGGCTCTGTAGGGCGAACCTGGAATTTAACCAGTCTGCCCTAAGCTAGCGGTGGAGGGCGAAAACAGCTGCGTCCTCCTGAAAGGTTGAAAGTGAAGGGCAGCCCTCCCAGGACGCTCTCCTTTGGGGCTGGTGCCCGGGTGCTTGGTCTTCCTCCTGTTGGCTTGGGTACCCGAGCGGAGCACGCGGTGTGATGGTGAGTGATACTGATTACCCCAGGCCACAGTTTACCCACCTGGTTTTACTTAATGAATTTAATTCTTCTTTAAGGACTGCAGTAACGGATGCTCCCCAGAATGTACCGGAGCAGCGGGATCAAAAGAGATGGTGGGGACTTTCAAGGTAAGGTTATTTGCTCAAGGTTAAGTGCTACAACAATTAACTGAATAAATCTATTTCTTGTTGAGATTTGGGGCAATTTCACGGTGTGGATTTTACAGTAGTTTAGATATGCTGCCATGCATTTTAGATTCCACTGGGGGGGGGTCATTTGGGGAGCAGTAATATCTTCATATCTAAAATTACCTAGCAGTTAATTACTTACTTCATGAATCATAACTTTTTCTTGAAAAAGAACTAATTTGTAAATATTCATCTAGATAGAGGTTTATCTGATTGTCTAAGTATAACCTTTCACTATGCTTGTGGAAAAAGTTACACTTGTCATTTTTCTCTTTAAACCAACACCTAACATTTTACAGTAAATGTGTTGTATTTCCCTACCTACTCTCTGAATTATGGGGTTTGTATATTAAATAATCTCATAACTTCCCAGGCAAATAGTGAGGAGCAAATGAGGAACAATCTTGTAAAAGCACTTTGAAAATCATAAAAATACAAATATAAGGTATATTATTATTTTCTTTATAAATTATCATCTCCACTGCACCCCACCAACCATGGAGGTTTTTGCTTCCTCTCTTTATGTCTCCTGCCTATTTGTCACTCACTGTCAATTGTCATCCATAGCACAGAGTGTCCTCATGATCTCACATCCTGGCAGGGTTCAGAGAGGGAGTGGAAACTTGACTCATCAATTTAACACACACCCAGCTCTTACTGTGTGCTAAGCATTGGAAATCTGAAGATAAATTCAAGATAAGGTCTCTGCTGTCAGGATTTAAAAAAAAAAAAAAATAGAATATCGTAATTTCTTTACAAAAATAAGCTTGTGAACTTTTTGTGTCCATAATACTCCTGGTCCTTTAAAGATCATATCCTCTGTAACCTTATAGCTGATCTAATCTACTCTGCTAACCTGTTAAGACTAAGTTCTAATACATTTGGAGACTTAAATATGTTGAGATATTGGGTCCTAGGAAAAATGAGATAAAACAGACTCCTATTTGATAATCTCTCAGAGTCCTTTTATATAGTAGGTAAATTCCTCAAAGGGTATATAGATGAATGTGATTTTTTTTCTCAAAATTTCTTTATATTTTTATACATAGAGAATTTTTGCTAAGTTAAAATTAATTCATAATGTAAATAATCTATTTGCTGAATTTAGATTTCTATATATTATGTTTTAATTAAGGGGGAGGTGTGCTGACATTCTACATTTGTATTTATATATTAAAACATGGGTTGTTAATGGTGGTTGTATTCACAGTGCATATGTGATGAGGCAAATGAAAAATGAAATTGATAATTTTGGGAGAAAAATGGTGGGTTTTATAAGACCATTTTTGCTTTTGACAAAAAGCAAAAATATTTTTCTATCTCTTTTTTATTTACTCCATTTGTATTTTTAAATTACCTTTTGGATTTCTCATAGGGAGTTTTCATATTGTATCTCCTCCCCTCATTTTGATGCAGTCATTTTATTTATTTTTTATTTTTTTAATATGAAATTTATTGTCAAATTGGTTTCAATACAACACCCAGTGCTCATCCCAACAGGTGCCCTTCTCAATGCCCATCACCCATCCTCCCCGCTCTCCCACCCCCCGTCAACCCTCAGTTTGTTCTCAGTTTTTAAAATTTTTTTTTTTCAACGTTTATTTATTTTTGGGACAGAGAGAGACAGAGCATGAACGGGGGAGGGGCAGAGAGAGAGGGAGACACAGAATCGGAAACAGGCTCCAGGCTCTGAGCCATCCGCCCAGAGCCCGACGCGGGGCTCGAACTCACGGACCACGAGATCGTGACCTGGCTGAAGTCGGACGCTTAACCGACTGAGCCACCCAGGCGCCCCTGTTCTCAGTTTTAAAGTGAGGATCCAGTTTCCCAACAAAGCCCAGAAATAAGATGCCTTATTACAGAATCTTTCTATGGACTCCAGAGTCATCTTTGTTTCAAAGAAATCCGCTGTTTCTTCCACTTTCCCCTGCTTTATTCATCTCCACAGAATGTGACACTCGAAATCTGTAATTCTGCTCTTCGTACCTTTCTATTAGGTTTTAAAAGAGGGTCTCTAAAAGATCATGAACATAGCACCTAAAGCTTTCGAAGTAGAGTAAGAAAAGTGCACTTATTGTAGAACAAAGTTGTACAATTTCTGATACACTTGTAAGGCTGAGATAGCTCTTAAACATTACGTGTTGTGTCCAATGCAGAGAACAGCTCCAATACTGAGCAATGAAGGAGAGATGTTGCTAGAATGCTGGCTAATACAGCCCTCAGGTGCAACCAGGTTGCATTTGCCTCTTACAGGCTTCCCCATTTCAGAGCAAATACTTACCCAAGCGTGGCTTTGAGTTAGGAACTCATTGTTTTTTTAACATGCTTTGTTTTTGTCAATATTTGCCATTTCACAGTCCAGTCCTTGTGGCCTTGCCTTTCAAATTCTTCCTCAGGCATAATATGGCCTGAAGTCATCAGAGAACATGGAGCATTGGAAAGGGACAGATTAATTATGCAGGAGAGAGTATCACTTAACAAATATTGTTCTTTTTTATCCATCTTTAGAAAGTAAATGTAAAGTTTCTAAAGAACACTGATAAAAACTGTTTGCAAAATTTCTTTTATGCCAAAAATTTTTTCACCGCCTTAGACTTGATTTCATATCTACTCAAAACCAGTCACAACCTTCAGCTAATATTGTTTACTTTAGAATTTCATTCAGTGTCCAATTAGGATATTTAATATTCTTAGGTAATTTCTCTTGGAGCTCAGGTTAAAAGCTGTTATTTTAGTTTCCAGAATTGCAGAAAATTTTTTAAAGGAAGGAAAATAGACTTCTTGATGAAATTCTGAAAGCACTAAGTTGTGCATTACTTTGAAAAACTGTATGTTGGGCAATCCTTCTTTACAAATTAGAAAGTTAGAGGGTTGCTGTTCATATCATTAATAAATCACATCTTATAGGGGCGCCTGGGTGGCTCAGTCGGTTAAGTGTCCGACTTCGGCTCAGGTCATGATCTCGTGGTTCATGGGCTCGAGCGTTGCGTCGGGCTCCATGCTGACAGCTCAGAGCCTGGAGCCCCCTTCAGGTTCTGTGTCCCTCTCTCTATATACCTCCTCCACTCATACTCTGTTTCTCTCTCTCTCTCTCTCAAAAATAAATAAATATTTTTTAAAAATCGCATCTTATAAAAGGATGTAGCGGCCTATGAAAATAAGACTTATAATTTAATCATTTGTATTCAGTTTCCCGAAACTTAATTAGTAGTATCAAGTTATAATTACAGGAGCACTAAGTCGAGCATAAAACCACCTATTCTATATTTTTGCCATTAACTAGCTTGATCTCACAGGGCCAGTGGATCACTATGGGTGGTCCTAGAGATATTTTAAGGAGAGTTCAGAAAAGTAAAAATTATATACTATGCTATGCTCATTCTTTTTTTTTTTTTTTTTTTTAAGAGAGAGATAGAGCATGAGCAGGGGAGGGACAGAGAGAGGAGACACCAAACTGGAAGTGGGCTCCAGGCTCCACGTTGTCAGCACAGAACCTGATGCGGGGCTCAAACTCACAAACAGTGAGATCGTGACCTGAGCCGAAGTCCCAGGTTTAACCACTGAGCCACCCAGGAGCCCCTAGGTTATGATAATTCTTAAAGTTGGTTCTTTAAGGATCTGTAGTAACAAAAAAGGTCTTTTAGTAAGAATTTTATAAAATCTACAGCAGTCTGTTGTGTTGAAATACACTAAACCATGAAGATCAATCCATGTTTAGTGAAATTTAGAACAGAATTATTAGTACATATTTGATGTGTATAGTAGTTACTGTGCTAAATGAGAGTCCAACATAATCCAAAGCAATGACTGCCTTTTCCAAATGTTCAAATTGGCTAAAAGATTTTATAGAGCCAAACCAAACATTTTGGGAGCTGGGATGTCTATCTGTGTAGAGGGATTGTGTGAGCAACTGCTAGGCAGTTTGAAAAGCTGAGGATACCCCCAGACTGCTGGGCCAGATGGGCTGCTACAGTTTCCATACTTCCTGCTGGAGTAAAAGAGAAGAGAGTTTGGATAAACTGGCTGCACCACATGTCCAGTGTTACAGATGGAGGAAATGATGGGAAGAAAAAGAGGTAAAGGTGGGAGGACATCTGTAGCCAGGTTTTAGTCCTTCCTGTTAAACTATGGCATATAACCAAGAATGCTTAAGGGCTGGTCAGTTTTCAGGCACTGAGGAGACCCCAAATACAGCCCCCCTGTGTTCCTTGTTAACAGATTGTGTTTGCAGTTCTCCGACCAGCCCTGCTAGGCTCCCTTGCAACTTGATAGATCAGTGTGATACATTTCTGACCAGTAAGGCATATGGAAATTCCTGGAGAAATGTTGCTTTTGTGATCAAAAGGAATACACTTGTCTCCTCTTATCCTTTTCCTCCCCTATCTTTGGACCTTCATGAGATCATTAAAGCTGAAGCTACAGCTATAAGCAGCTCTTCTTTGACCCTGAGGAGAAGGCTAAGAAAATCACAGGGCCTTGAGATGATGGGGTTCTGTCGGACTTGGCTCTTTCAGACTTAACGTGAGAAAACCAACTCCTGTTTGTGTTTTACTTACTTGCAGCTGAATGCATTCCTAAGTGATAAGTAAAAGGTTAATGCAGGACATTAGTGAGAGGTAGAACTGAAAAAAGAAGTTAGTGCCATACTTGGGATACTTAATTTTGCAGCTAAAATATTTGGCCTTTAATCTATAGCCATTTAGGTATTCAGTGCACATGGAAAATTATGATCAAGCATGTGATTATGTTCAGAGAGATTATAAGGAAGAGATACAGAATATTTGCTACTGAGGGGGTAATAGAAATTGAGGAATCAGACTTCTTAAAGAGATTCTTGAAATTACAAGCGTCTCTATTACTGATAGGGGGAACCGAGGGTTGGGAGAATGTTGTGAGAATGATAAATTACCTCGAAAGGAATGAAGATGTAAAGAAAATAC